GCACACACACACAGCCTTAAAGGCACAGTCCCCCTGTCAAATGTCAGGGTTTACTCTGGAGTGTGTCCGAGCCTTCATGAGTCCTGCTGTTCAACACTAAAGGAGATGTTCTGAAGAATGTTGGAGACCTGTAACCACTGACCTCCACAGTAGCAGTAGCGAACGCTGAGGAGCTCAGAGGGTTACAGCAGCTCAGAAGAACTCCTGAAGAGGTGAACTGTAGAGTGAGGAGATGCAGACAGAATGTGTGGAGATATGACACACACACACACACACACACACACACACACACAGCAGCGGTTCTGGAGCAGCGAGAGAGTGTAGAACCAGACCCATCTACAGACACACCACACCACTATACAGGTCAGCGGGTAACCGACCGCAGACGCCTTCAGCAGGTTCAGGAGCGAGTATGAGTGTACACCTGGACAAGCTCCAGTCTTCCTCTGTGTGATGTGGCGATGAGCTGGAGTAGCAGAATAAGATTACTGATACACCTGACGACCAAACAGCACCTGAACCCTCACTATCACTGCAGATATCACATCACCATCACCATCATCATCACCATCATCATCCTTATTATTATCAATCATTATTATTTCCCAACAAGTGAGCAAGAGCCACAATACAAGATCTGTTGGAGAGTCTCGGAAGGCAGGGCATGACCGTGTGTGTGTGTGCACAGCAAAATATGGGGACCCAAAACAACTCTATGGGTGTTAATTTAAACACTTTGAAAGTGTCTCATGGGGTCCACTCAAAACAGAGTTAAATCAACACTTTCAAAAGGGTTGGCATATTGACACCGAAGTTAGGGTTAATTTTAACTCTGGGCAGAGTTAAAAAATGTAACTATATTTAACACCGCCTGGTGTAATATATTATTTTATTCAACTCTCTTGAGTGTAAATATGGTAAAAAACTCAAATAGACTGTAAATTACAAAATAAAAAAACATTTTATTTGAAAACATTCACCACTTCAACAATTCATTCAGTTTTTAAAATGCAACAATGTCAAATATGCTTTAAATGTTTTATTAGTACAGACAGTATCAACAAAATATGTATGACCAGTGCTCAAAAAGGCTGTTTTAGTCCTTTGGTCCAAACTTGATGTGTTATCAGAGCAATTTGAAAGTTAAATATACAGTATCGTCACTCATAGTTTTCTTCTGAACGCATAGTTTTCTTCTGAAATTACATTTTAAACAACTTGGCGTGCAAATCTTTCACTTCGGGTGTTTCCTTGGTCCTCCATATCAAACACAGCAGTTTAAATGAAGGTATAAATGCTGGAAACTTGTGTGAAAACAAACTGGAGCTAGGAAATCTCATCAAGCATGTCCTGTGAAAGATGTGCTTCCCAGCCACAGGATGACCTTTTTATCCATGACGATGTACAGTAGTAGCTGCTGATCGCTCGTCTGGTGGTTCCTGATGCACAGATATAGGGTGATGCTCTTCTAGAAACTCTTCAAGATTCCAGCATGACTAAGATAAATGTTTGAAAACAAATTGCAATCAAATTCTATGATATATTTAAAAGAACATTTAAAGTAAATAAAACATTCAAGAAATCTAAACTCACCTTTTGAAAATCTTCATGATGATCCACAACTTGACTCTCCCAGCTGGTTGAGGTGACAGGATATGGAAAAGTAGAAAAAACACATATATCACTGTTGGATCTACAAAAACAATTAGGTTAATCACTATGACCAGAACTGGAAAAACAGGCAGCTGTCTGTCCAGAATCCTGAATTTAACACAACACTTGGAGCAAAATTTAGAGGAGCTTAAAATCTTTTATATCATTTAGTGATGCTGACTTCCCCAAAATATTGGCCACAGTGTAAAATATATTCATAAACTTACAGTTTTCTGTAAGCGTGTGCGTGTGTGTGTGTGCGTGCGTGCGTGTTTCTTTACCAGATTCAACTTGTTAGGCCCTTTCAGGACCAGTATTGACGCCACCTTTCCTGGAGTCTAGCAGATGTTTTAGGTCCAAATGTAATCTTAAATATTAGGATAAGCAGAAGAGGAAAAGTGGAAAGCAAAGAGCAAAACATTATTTAAGTAACAGTTCACCCACAATACAAAACTTATCACCTTCATGTCATTTGTTATTCTCTAATGCTCTAATACCCTCTCAGCTTATTGTGAAACAAATACAGAACTTTATCAAACATACCTTCATTATTATCACCACATATGACCAAGAAGGTGTGCTTGGTCATTTCACCAACTCTGGAAATACACCATCCGTCTCTAATCAGCCAGCGTCACAGGGTCTTGTGTTATTGTAAAGAGAACTGTGGCTGTTAAAAAACAACAACACATTAGTATCTAACACATATGCATAACCTTCAGATAAAAAAAGAGAGATGAACATCACAAAGTATGCCTCACACATTTTCACATATCTTTTGATTCAGATGTTGATTATTGATAATAAATCTACAAATCAAACCTGTATCATCATTAGGCTGCTCAAATATGAATCAGTTGATTAATTTTACAGACATGTGGCTGTTTACAACGTACTAAATTGTCTTTAATAAAACGGAAATGTTGTGTACAGTACATGCTAAGTTTAGCCTATAGTTTTAAGCACAATATCATGAGGGAGAAAAAGCTTGACTAAGATGTTCCTGACTACAGAAATAGCCTAACTTACTAACATCCCGAGTTGGGAAAAGTCATTTTCGGGGGATACAGAGTTGATTTGCGGGAGGTAGCGGGAGTGAGTACCTAAAGAGCAATGGGATGAGTTGCGCGCGACGTACCTAAAGAGCTGGGAGGGATGCGGTGGAGAGGGGTGTGCAAAGTGTTTAATGACCGGGCGGGAGACGCGCGATTTCCGGGAGATTATCATTCATTTGCGGGCATCTACTTGGGCATCTGGGAGTCTCTGTGCATTTGCGGGATAACGTTAACGTTAGTCCCGCAACTTCCGGGAGACTTCTGTAACGTCAAATGTCTGAGAAAGTGCAAACGCGGTCATTTAAAGACATTAATGTTAACATTCCGACTTTAATGGTTGTCAACACTTAATATAATTCAAGCGTACGTTGTCACGCGAGTCTATGGACTAACGTTATATGGACGGCCACGAATGAACCAGTTTAAAAGGGCTGCGGTGTTTAAAATAACCAAATTAACATACACGGATAACAAACAATCATATGTTTTAGTCAGGAAGCCTTTTACAAGTAAGCATATGTTCATTTACACACCAGATATGTTTTAGAAACTCTCCAGAGCTTATGGAAACCGTCCTGTGTTGCCGTTAGCATCCGGGCAGAGTAGGCTAACTTAGGCTGCTCCGGGGATTGCCTCGCTAGTTTGCTTCGAGTTAAAGGAGAAGTGTCGATTTTATTTTACAGATGGGTAACAACGCACAAAATGTCATTAAGCGTGACAGAAATGTGTTGAACATGTACATTTGATGTCTTTATGCACTATGTATGCGTTAGCATATATAAAAACATTCTTGAAAAGAAGTCAATAGTAATGCAGTTAAGCTAAATACACAAACGACCATGAATGAACCGCAGAAGTTTAAAATTGTCACTACATTCTAAAGTTATTAACTTAACAATATGTTTACAACTGTATTTCCTTAAAGAAAGTCAGTAAAATACCAACATTTAGGTAGTTTGACTCACCAGTTGCTGTTCTAAACCTCAGATGGAAAATGGCGTCTGGAAAATTCTTCAGTGACTGGGGCTGCATGAATTCCCGGATGTTGGAAATAACACCACCAAGTGTAAAAAAGATAACTCCTTGATTTCGCACTGAATAAAATCAATTCTAACTCTTATTATATTCATTTATCAAAATCTAACTCTTTAACGTCAACACTTTACTCTGAAATGCTTCAACACCGAGAATTTAACTCTGATGAATTTGCTGTGTGTGTGTGTGTGTGTGTGTGTTTTAGTTTCGCTGCTGTGGAGTGACCAATCACACAGACTGGTTTCAGGTGTATAACACCTCTCGTGTGCCGGACTCCTGCTGTCTGGAATACAGCGACAACTGTGGCCTGGAGAACCCCGGCACCTGGTGGACAGCTGTAAGAACACACCTGCACACACACCTGAACACACATCTAAACACACACCTTCACACACATACCTATAAATAAATATTGAGTAAACAGTCACTGATGTGTGTGTGTGTGTGTGTGTGCGTGCGTGCGTGCATGCGTGCGTGTGTGTGTGTGTGTGTGTGTGTTTTACAGCCATGTTATGAGAGAGTTAAAGGTTGGCTGCAGGAGAATCTGGTGGCTCTGTGGATTTTCGCTCTGTGTACGGCACTTACACAGGTACTGAACACACACACACACACACACACACACACACACACACACCTGAACACAATCTAAGCACAACGAAGACATCAGGGCTCTGTTTAGAGCTTTAATGACTGTGTGTGTGTGTGTGTGCTCCTGCAGATCCTGGGTCTGGTGTTCTCCATGACCATCTTCTGTCACACAGTGAAGGCAGCAGACACCTACTATGCGTAGACTCTCGGCAGAGCAGAACAGACCAAACCCAGCTCAGTTGTTCTCTGATCACACACATGGATTTCGGGATTTCCTTCAGTGTAAATATGTTGTCTGTCGGGGAAACTGTCTAGGCCGATGCTACACACACAAACACACACACACACACACACACACACACACACACACACACACACACACACACAACTGCCATTACTGATCATCTAGACTGAACTGAAGAGATGGACGGAGGAAGAACAGCAGAGCAAAGCACAATAAAGCAGAGCTGTGTTTATTAACTGCACACACACACACACACGCACGCACACACACACACACACACGCTTCTGTTGAACATTAATACTGTATATTTCGTTATGAACCCCTAAAGCACTTCTGTTAGTCCAGCATCAGTGTATTCCTGTGTTTAACTGGGAATAAATTTACAGAAAACACACACACACACACACTCCTGCTGTTTCCACAACACTGTGTACTTTCCTCAGCCCGGTGTGAACAGAGCCGTGTTCTGTTGTGTTATGAGCGCTTCTGTAAGACATCAATAACCCGGTCTCCTGTGTGTCATCAATACTGTAAGATCAGATCAGCACACGTCAGCGGTTGAGCAGTAATGCTGGATAATCAATAATGAGCTTTCATCATCAGCGGAGCCTGAAAGAGTTCAGCAGATCAGACTCTGCCCTGTCCCGTCTCTGAAGCTCAGCTGATGTGCTGGAGTGGGTCCACTTTACAGCAGAACTGAGCCAGAGGAGCAGAATCAGGCCTGTTCACAGTCTGCTTCAGAAATAAACCCGAACCGACCAGTCAGACGTCTGCATCTGTGTCCAGAACACACACACAGTGTGTTGAGCGCAGAGTTATCTGCACATGGACTGATCACAGCGAACACTGCATGATCCTCTGCTGCCCCCTGGTGGAGCACTGCAGTCTGAGCTGCTCCTGCATGGAGGAACAGGGGAAGGTGACGTCATAGTTTTAGTGGATGATATTCAGCGCACTAGTGAGGGAACGACAGCAAGGGCAGAAGTCTGAGCTCCAGTTTCTGAGAATCTCTTCCAGCTCAATGAAAAAAAAAACATCTAACCGGCTGAGCGGAGCGAAATCAACACAATAATCAGTCAATCTGGCCTGCAGTATTCAACTCTGCACAATCATTATGACAGAGATCAGCACACAGAGCTCCTGTGAGGAGGTGTGCACAGAGCTGTGGCAGTGTAGTGTCCACGCTCAGACTGGGCTGATAGAAACTTAATGCAGCTCTTTTTATATTTCCTGACCTTAAAGGGCCATGAAAGCCCCTCGTTTCAACTGGGTGTTTTCACACCTCTACTTTGGAAAAAGTCAGAAAAGTGGGCGTGTCCAGCTCTGTTTAGGGGGGAGTGTCGGAGGAACTAAAGTGGGAGGGTGTGGGAGTGTCTATTTGTGCACGCGCAAGTTTCAGAGTCAAAATACACACAGGAGAAAGTGATGGTGTTTAACCTACATGGACATCTGTAGTCGAATTATTTGCCAAATTATTAAATGTTGGACTTTAACTGCAGTTTGGCTCTTTCATTCAGGGAATTCATTCATGCCTCTCGCGACAAACAAGATATTTGATTCGAGGATCTGCTCTAAGCGTTTATTTTTCATGCAGTGTTTGATACCGCACAGCGAATGAGAGAAAAAAAAACTCAGCATTTCCCGGAAACTTGGATGCACACGGCAGGTAGCGTCAGAAAGCCGCGTGTGTTATTCCGGTCACAAAATGCGGTGCTAACATTTCTGCACTCAGTGCAATAGTTAACTTAATTCGATACGAACAAACCGAATAAACAAAGAGCACTGGTCGCTCACTTACCAAATCTGTAGAGACAGGACAATCACCAGCAACTAGAGCCGCGTCTTTATGGAGAGAATACTACAAGCGAATCCAGATTTCAGCGTTTGCAGATGAGAACAGCTCTCAGGTAAACAATAATCCCCCTTAGACACGTAAGTTATTGTTGTCGCGCGTCGCGTACACTGTTAATCCACACGTGACTCAGAGCTCTCACAGAGAGAAAATGAAAACGAAACTGAACTGCAGCAAACTATAAAAGCAACACTTCACGCTTGTTTTGCCAACACAACGTGGCGTCTCTGTGGTGTAAACACGGTGACAATAATGAATATTAATGAAGTTGCACAATAGAGCGCGCTGATTGGTTTGAACCAAGCCTTACTCATGCATTAATGCAGCACACTGTAAGACGTAATAAGACACACTCTGGCACAGACGTCCAGTCTGCACGCTGGAATACACGCTATTATGTCATATAGGTGTCCTAATAGTGTTTTTAGCAGTGTGGGACACATATACGACTGTCAACAGCTCAAAAAATGTGTTTTGGTGTTTCGTGACCCTTTAAAATAGGATCCAAATCCCGCACAATTCGAGGCCCTACACGGCTTCCCCGCCCTCCGATTTGATTGACAGCCCCATATTAGCATGTCTCTTTAGCAATGTGTATAAACACATCAACAGTTGCACAAAGCAGCCGGGATTAACAGATCTGCTCAGCTCAGAGATCATCCATCATCAAATATGATCAAGAGCGAGTTTCACAAGTTTAATTCAGTGCACGTGTGTAATGAAGACCGTAAAATCACTGCATCATCAGCACAGCCGCGTGTCAGCCGTTATAAAAGATGACGCTTTAGTCCCGCTGTGTAGACGTTACATCAGCTTTATTCTGTACATCAACATAGCAGATATCCATACAGCCGAGATCAACCTGTATCCGGACAGTTACCGTGGAAAAAACAGTGCAAAGTTAAATGCGCGCATGTGTGTGACTCATCATTGCAGAAAGGCTTGAATTAACCCCACAGTAAACATGACCGCTGGGAAAGTTCCTCCTGTAGGGAGATCTGCTTCAGTTTTGTCTGTCACTGTGCAGATTATCCTCGCGAGACACAGCAGGTGCAGACTACATCCATCAGGGCGATTTCTGTGGTTCAGACAGCCAGGTGGGAGAGGTGGGCGGGGACAACCAGCTCATTAGCATTAAAGGCACAGGCAAGAACAAGAGCTGCAGTGTGGGAACAGCTCCATCTCCCAGATCCAGAAAGCTGACAGACACACGCAGGCTGATCTCACAGCTGGAGAAGGGGAAACCAGGAGCGCTTTAACACACATTACCCCAAACACTGGAACACTTCCATCATCAGACAGTTATAATCAAGCCTACACACATGGAGAATTAGAAAATGAAGCGTTCACTCGGCTCTCAGACTCTGGGCCGTGATTAGTCATGTTGAGAAAAGCTTTTCAGGGCAGAGATTTCAGTATTGTGTGTGTGTGTGTGTGTGTGTCATCATTAAACATGCAGACCCAAATCAATATTTAATTTGATGTATTTATTGAGGCGGTGGAGCAACACAGGAGGATGTACAGCTCTGCCTTCTGAATGTGGGAGATCAGCTTACACTCATCCAGCTGTACTGCAATGTGCATCAGTTAAGCGCGCGCGCGCACACACACACACACACACATACACACACACACACACACACACACTTCATGAACCACGTCAGGCCTGAAGTACTGAAGGAAACTTTATTAAAATAAACTAACAGAAACATCACAATGAGGACGACTCCACTAACACTACAGCGGGGCGAGTGTGTCCATCATCATCTTCATGCTCTCTCTCTCTCTCTCTCTCTCACACACACACACACAAATGAACAGTTCATATATACAGCTGCTCTCAGTGGATCCTCGTCAGCTCCTCCACGATCTTGATCACCTCATCCACCGTTGCCTCACGCTTCATCCCACTGCCGTCATCAATCTGAGGACACACACACACACACACACACACACACACACACACACACACACACACACACACGTCTGAGGAGGAGAAACACATCTGAAGAGAAACACACACACACACACACTTGAGGAGAAACGCATCACATGACCATAGTTAGGGGCGCAGATTTGCTTTTGGCAGTGGTGGGGAGCTCATTTAATACCGAGCCCACACTAGACATGTAAAGCTGGAGGAGGGACAGTTTATTAGAGACGGTGTTCACTGAGGGCTCATATGTGCATCAGGAAAACTGGGACAATTTCCCACACGTCTTCATGTTACAACCAGGACTCCTCCTAGAGCTGGCCAGCCTTAGTCCAGGAGGGGATCAATAACCTGATGGCCACTCTGTCTGAGCTTCAAGAAGGACAACCATCTGTGCAGCAATCCACCAATCAGGAGTCTGTATGGCAGAGCGGGCAGACGGAAGACACTCCCCGCCTGGAGTTTACCATCTGCAGGACTCTCAGAGCATCAGAAACTAAACTCTCTGCTCTGATGAGACTCAAACTGAACTGTTTGGAGTGAACGCCAGGCGTTACGTGTGGAGAACTGCAGGCGGCGCTCATCAGCAGGCTAACAGCATCCCTACAGTGAAGCATGGTGGTGTTGGCATCATGCTGTGGGGATGTGTTTCAGCAGCAGGAACTGGAAGACTAGTCAGGATAGAGGGAAAGATGAATGCAGCGATGTACAGAGACATCCTGAATGAAGACCTGCACAAGAGTGCTCTCCACCTCAGACTGGGGCGACGCTTCATCTTCCAGCAGGACAATGACCCAAAGCACACCGCCAACATATCAATGCAGCGGCACAGCAAGAGCCCAGACCTAAATCCTATTGAGCATCTCTGGAGAGATCTGAAAATGGCTGAACACCGTCACTTCCTATCCAACCTGAGAGAGCTGGAGAGGTCCTGCAAAGAGGAACGGGCAAACATCCCCAAAGACAGCTGTGCAGAGCTCATCATATTCAGAAAGACTCGACGCTGTAATCACTGACAAAGGAGCATCAACAGAGTCTTGAGCAAAGCCTGAGAACACTGATGTACATCTGATTTATCCGCTTTATTTAATTAATTCAAACAATTTCAGAAACTCTCTCCACATTGTCATTATGGGGGATTGTGTGTAGAATGTTGAGGACATAGAGGAATTGAATCCATTGTGGAGTAAGGCTGGAACAGAAACACATGAGGAAGCAGAAGCGCTGTCAGTTCTTTACAAATGCAGAGCATATCTCAGAATCTCCACATCGCCACAGTCTAGCCAGTGTATACTGCCATTTCTGCACATTACGCTGAGAGGACTTCACATGTGTGTGTGCAAACAGAACCGCACACGCTCCATTCACACTCCAGAACTTTAATAAATCAGGATTAGTCGATTACTGGCGGCCACATTTCAGTAACCTGTGGACACTGGTGGAGACACGTCCCCTCAGCCCATGCTAATTCTACACCACCGACCACACGGGTGTGCATGTGTGTGTGTGTGTGTCACCTGCAGTGTGCTGACCACCTCCTGCATCTTCGCTCGACCCAAATCCAGGAAGCTCTCGATCAGATCCCCGTCAATGAAGCCTGTGGCCTGCTCCGTCTTACGCTCCGTGTGGAACGACCTCCAGGTGGTGCTAGTCAAGGTCAAAGGTCACGGTTCTCACTCACACACACACACACACACACACACACCTGCTAAAGGATATAAGCTGTGCTCGATCTTGCCGACGCTCTTGATGACCTTGTTAAGGCGGTTCTGCAGATCCAGCAGTAAACTGTACCAGCCCTCTGACAGAGACGTCACCAGACCTGCACACACACACACACACACACACACACACACACACACACACACACACACACACACACACACACACACACACACACACACACACACACACACACACACACACACAATCATCATCATCATCATCATCATGCTGCTAACAGCAGAGGTTCATCTCCCACACACACACACACACACACACACACACACACACACACACACACACACACACACACACACGCGCACACACACACGCGCACACACACACGCGCACACACACACGCGCACACACACACGCGCACACACACACGCGCACACACACACGCGCACACACACACGCGCACACACACACGCGCACACACACACACGCACACACACACACGCACACACACACACGCACACACACACACACACACACACACACACGCGCACACACACACGCGCACACACACACGCGCACACACACACGCGCACACACACACGCGCACACACACACACACGGTGCATGTTTTACCGATCATGCCGTTGACGGTGCCGAACAGCACTGAGCCCTGTGTGGGTGTGGAGCTCTCGCCCAGGTTCTGCAGCACCAGCGACCCGTGAGAGAAAACATTGACGAACTCGCCCAGGTGGAACAGACCCACCTCCTGCAGGTGCTGCCGCTCCTCGTCTGTGGTGGCAGCGCTGGAGACACACACACACACACACACACACAGTGCAGGAGCGTTAGTCAGGTGTGTGGGGGGTACAGCACATGTATCTGGCGTTTGAGCAGCTCCGCTGTTACCTGTCCTTCTGGCAGACGAACAGGTTGAAGGCGTTCTCCGCCCCGAGGAAGTTGTCGTCGTCCAGGATCTCCACTGCACTCATCCAGTTGGGGTTGAAATCTCGAGCGATCTGCAGATATAAAGCAGAGGACATGAGGAAGCTGCAGCGTTGAGTCCCAGAATGCAGTGCGGCGGGGGGGCGGGGCGTCACCTCCTCGAAGCTGCCCTCCATGGGCTTATAGGCCAGCAGCAGCACGGAGCGCATCAGGTCTCCCACCAGGATGAAGTCTCCTTTGGTCTTCAGGTACAGCGCCATGATGTTGTTGTAGTGGTTGCACTCGGTGCGCAGCTCCTTCTCTGCGGTCCACTCGTACAGACGCACCTGCAGGCGGAGCACAGCGTCAGCACCGCACACCCCGACCCAACCGCTGACTGACCCACACACCCCGACTGACCCACACACCCAATCGCTGACCGACCCACACACCCCGACTGACCCACACACCCCGACTGACCCAAACACCCCGACTGACCCAACAGCTGAGTGACCCACCCCCCTAGAGACAGCACACCTGACCAACCCAAACCCTGACTGCCCGGGCCGGGCCGACTCACCGTGCTGTTGATGCTGGCCAGCAGTTTACCATTGAACTCCACCATGGAGTAAACGGCACCCTTCACCTCCTTCTCCGCCACCGTCTGCAGTTTACCTGAACACACATGCACAGGTCAGCTGTGTATGACAGTAACTGTGGTCATCATCTGCACTCGCTCACACACACACACACACACACACTTCATTCATTAGTCTAGATGTGTTGTTTACACTGCACGGCTCTCACCGCTACAGAGCAACGTGTCTTCTGCTGCTGCGTCTCTCTTCTTCAGTGGAAATAAACTTGCGGGTGGAAAAGATGTGACATGTGAGCGGCCCGCTGCTGTAGTTAACCCAGTGTGTGTGTGTGTGTGTGTATTAGCCTCGGCGTATAGACTCGGGACTTGAAGCTAGCGCACAGCTGCAGTGGTTCGGTCATGTGCAGCAGACGGCGGCGTTCAGAAGCCTGTACGAGTAATAATGCGAATGTTTCCGGCCGCTCGCGCCTCTCGCTTCATGTCAGGAGACTCCAGCTCTGCACAGCCGTCACCTGCAGCTGCTGTAGTGAACAGACGCACGCCACTTCAGAACTATAGCAGCCGCTTCTCCCCTCGACCAGTTATTTCTGAGTACAAATACAGCCCGCGGGCCGCCAACTGAGCAGCCCTGCTGTAGAGTGTGTGTGTGTGTGTGTGTGTGTGTGTGTGTTCAGTGATGCTCACCGTCAGTATAGTGGAAGACGATGATGCGGCCCTGCTTTGGCTCCGCCTCCTCTGGGTAAACCATCGCCGTGCCGACGATGAAGTAAACAGCAGGATCTCGACCCAGTTTGCAGGACACCATGCTGAGGGCGTACTCGTTCTGCAGGAACTGATGAGCGTGCAGCACTGCAGAAGAAGAAGAAGCTTTAGAGCTCACGCATGCAGAGATACGGCGACATTAGCGTCTGCGCTACAGCTGCATTAGCGTCTGCACACCCACCCTCAAACGTGTGCTGGTCCACCACCAGTAAGCTGTGCACCTCCACCTCCTCCCCGAATGACGTCTCATGGGGCGACGTGCTGCTGGGGAACAGCTTACTGGAGCTCACACTGCTGGACAGAGCCTGACACACACACACACACACACACACACACGTCAGACGAAAATCCACACCTTTGCTAACACTCATGACAAAACATACTCTAACACACACACACACACCTGTGTGCTGGCGCTGGGCCGTACGGCTGCTGTGGTTCCACTGGCGTCCTGCATTTCAACTCTACTGGACAAAACTCCAAAACACTGAGACACCTCCTGATAACAGATCCGCCTGTCAACACACACACACACACACACACACACACACACGTCAGTCTGATAAAAACTAAATCTGGCAACCAGATCACAGCACGCACGCACACACACACACACGCACGCGCACACACTGGCACACTCACTTGGGGGACTCGTAGAGCGGCACAGTCCGGATGTGGAGCTTCTGGATCTCGTCAATGGTGCCGATGGTGAGAGTGCTGTTATTGGCCAGAGCCAGACTGGAGGAGGAAAAGCAGAGCTGTGATTGGCTGACGGTGCACACCTGTTCTCACACACACCCGAGGAGTGCTTCAGTGTCAGGCCTGAACACAGCTGCAGCAGCACCACTGCAGGAACGTCCCACTGGCTGACATTCCCAGACTCCCATTGGCCAGTGCTGTAATGGGTGGGCGTGGCTCTGAGGCTCACATTAGGCATGTGTGTGTGTGTGTGTGTGTGCTGTTGTGTGTTGTTTACAGTGCTGTACCTGTCCGGGTAGCCCTCAGAGTTGAGCGGGCACATGTAGTTGACCTCCTTCAGGTTGACGTTGGAGAACACCAGCTTGTGGTTGCTGGAGTAGATGACGGTGGGCCGGTCGGAGCAGGCGAACACGTTGGAGGTGGAGAGCGAGCGGAACGTGCGCAGGACGGTGGGCTGAGTGCCGAGAGTCACCTTCTTACGCTCGCTCAGAACACCTGCACACACACACACACACAGACACACACACACACAGACACATCCTGAGAAACACACTTACTCTAGGACCAGCTCAAGAAAGAAAAATATTAAACGAACTTGAACAGCGGTCTATACTGACCAAGCTGATGTGTCAAGAGAGAGTGTGTGTGTGTGTGTGTGTGTGTGTGTGTGTGCTGTTTTAACCTGTCTGAATATCCAGGCCGAAGTAGAAGAGCGCTCCGTCTCCCAGCGCACACAGCAGGTAGTGGCTGCCCTCGAAGGTGGTCATGAGGATGGAGCGAGGGATGATCTCTGAGAAACACACACACACACACACACACACACACACACACACACACACAGTCATACATTAAACATTGTCCTCATACAGCAGAGGGAAGCTGACAGTACACTCAATAACACATGTGAGCAGCATTAGAGACGTGTCCTGTACACTGCTGAACGCATGTCTGTGGCTGCATGAGGAGAAACAGGCATACACTCACTGATATAAAGAGCTCACCGTTCATCTGTACACGTGTGTTTATGCACACGCACCGCAGACAACAGCAAACACACACACACACACACACACACACACACACACACACACACACACAGTGAATGTGAGCAGATAACTGCAGGGTAACTTCAGCTGTTATTATATTCCACAGGCGGTTCTCACTGGTCAGATGTGCTGAATGAGGAGAGTAAACAACAGCAGCACTCACACCAGACCAACACTACACTAACACTAGACCAACACTAGACTAACACTAGACCAACACCAAACACTAGATCAACACTAGACCAACACTAGACTAACACTAGACTAACACCAAACACCAGACCAACACTAGACCAACACTAGACTAACACTAGACCAACACTAGACCAACACTAGACTAACACTAGACCAACACTAGACTAACACTAGACCAACACCAAACACTATATCAACACTAGATCAACGCTAGACTAACACCAAACACCAGACCAACACTAGACCAACACTAGACTAACACTAGACTAACACTAGACTAACACTAGACTAACACCAAACACTATATCAACACTAGATCAACGCTAGACTAACACTAGACTAACACTAGACTAACACCAGACCAATACTAGACCAACACTAGACTAACACTAGACTAACACTTGACTAACACCAAACACTAGATCAACACTAGATCCACGCTAGACTAACACTAGACTAACACTAGACTAACACTAGACTAACACCAAACACTATATCAACACTAGATCAACGCTAGACTAACACTAGACTAACACCAAACACCAGACCAATACTAGACCAACACTAGACTAACACTAGACTAACACTTGACTAACACCAAACACTAGATCAACACTAGATCCACGCTAGACTAACACCAAACACTAGATCAACACTAGACCAACACCAAACACTAGATCAACACTAGACCAACACTAGACTAACACTAGACTAACACTAGACTAACACCAAACACTAGACCAACACTAGACTAACACTAGACTAACACTAGACTAACACTAGACTAACACCAACACCAAACACTATATCAACACTAGATCAACACTAGACCAACACCAAACACCAGACCAACACTAGACCAACACTAGACTAACACTAGACTAACACTAGACTAACACTAGACTAACACCAAACACTAGATCAACACTAGATCAACGCTAGACTAACACTAGACTAAACACCAAACACCAGACCAATACTAGACCAACACTAGACTAACACTAGACTAACACCAAACACCAGATCAACGCTAGACTAACACTAGACTAACACCAAACACTAGACCAATACTAGACCAACACTAGACTAACACTAGACTAACACTTGACTAACACCAAACACTAGATCAACACTAGATCCACGCTAGACTAACACCAAACACTAGATCAACACTAGACCTAACACCAAACACCAGACCAACACTAGACCAACACTAGACTAACACTAGACCAACACTAGACCAACACCAGACCAACACTAGACCAACACTAGACTAACACTAGATCAACACCAAACACTAGATCAACACTAGATCAACACTAGACTAACACCAAACACCAGACCAACACTAGACCAACACTAGACTAACACTAGACTAACACTAGACTAACACTAGACTAACACCAAACACTATATCAACACTAGATCAACGCTAGACTAACACTAGACTAACACTAGACTAACACCAGACCAATACTAGACCAACACTAGACTAACACTAGACTAACACTTGACTAACACCAAACACTAGATCAACACTAGATCCACGCTAGACTAACACTAGACTAACACTAGACTAACACTAGACCAACACCAAACACTATATCAACACTAGATCAACACTAGACCAACACCAAACCCCAGACCAACACTAGACCAACACTAGACTAACACTAGACTAACACTAGACTAACACTAGACTAACACCAAACACTAGATCAACACTAGATAAACACTAGATTAACACTAGACTAACACTAGATCAACACTAAACACTATATCAACACTAGACTCACACTAGACTAACACCAAACACTAGATCAACACTAGACTAACACTAAACACTAGATCAACACTAGATCAACACTAGACTACCACCTAAGACTA